GCAGTGTTGTCTTAGAGCCCGAAAACCGAGTGCGGCCCACGACCAGGAGAGTGGCCGAATTCCTCAGCTGGCCCAGTCATCTGGGGAATGCGAAGACCGCTTTCAATGTTGTGTTTGTAAGGAAATGACAGTCCCCAAGTGGGCCATGTCGGGTCCTCCAGAGACCCTGTGGGCACTCACGGGCAGACACTGTTTACTTAACTGGAATTGGTTTCTGAAAACATGCGGCTCTGGAGGGTGGGGGGGGGGCACGGCCACTGGGATCTTCTTTCAGGTCTGGGTGGGGCCCTGCTGATCCCCTCGGGCTGATAAGACCCCAGATTCCAGGGCAGATCCAGGCCTCCCGACAAGGGCTGTGGCCAGGACCTGGTCATTCCAGAGGCCTCCCGGCTCAGCAGAGCCGACTTCCGAGTGTCATAGTTTGTCACAGGGATCAGCGGGGCCTGGAATGAGGCTCCAGATGGCCAGCATGAGGGTGGGGGAGATTCTGGGGCCGAAGTTATCTCTAGGAAGAATCCAGCGCTCACATTCTTGTCGGCTCTGGGAGCTGATGGGTTGATAAAGGGGGAGAATTTGATGCCTCTGGCTTCAGGAAAATGGCAGCCAGGATGGCTTTGGGACACCGTCCCCCTTGTGACGGACTTTCCACAACCCCTAGAACTTGCGATCTTCCTGCCTTGGCCTCCCCCGCAGCCGGGATCACGGTGTGGGCCATCCCGCCTGGCTGATTCCTCCTCTAGCAGGCGCTCTTGCCACCGCGTCGCCTTGAGGGCTCATTCAGGACTTTCCCGCGTCTCCCAGCTGCCTAGTCACCTCTTAGCCTGGTGTCCCCAGATTTCCAAAACTGGGCACTAAATAAGGCTCCTTCCTTCCTATTCCTTTTCCTCCCAGGGGACCCCCCATCGGCTGGCCCATGGTCTGCCCTTGGGCTTGGGAGGGGTTATTGGGTCTAAGGTTCAGGACAAGGCAGAGGTGCTAGTGTTGGCCCAGGTCATGTGCCCAAGGTCTTCAGCTCAGGAACAAAGAAGCCAAGGTCAGACTCTGGGCCTGGGTGCCCAGCAGGATGCCCAGGAGGGGGCCCCACAGCCGGGGTGGGGGCTTGGAGGTCGCTCAGGGGGATTATTTATTATTTACTGCTGAGTGGCTTCCCCAGAACTCTTTACTTTTCACTTTGAAACAGCCTCACTTGCTCAAACTCCTAGTCCTCCTGCCTCGGCCTCCAGGATCGCTGGGATTGGGGGGCGCCGCTGTGCCTCGCTGGGTCCCAGGAGTTTCAAGGTTTAGTGAAAACAGGGAAGTTACAAGTCGGGACCCAGGAGAGAGCCCCGGCCTTCGAGGGTGGAGCTGGCTCATTCGGGCCAGTGGTGAAGTGGGAGAGGGGAGAGGCCGGGGCTCGCCAGGGCCCTACGGCTGCCCGTGAGGACCAGATCAGATTGGTCACCATCAGATGCACCACCTGGAAGACCAGGTGATGTTTCTGTCAATCGCCCTGAAGACTTGGTGACACTCTGATGGGCGTCCCCTTTTATTCTCGAAGGCCAAGTCCCAGGCCTCTACCGCCCTGCCCAGCGCTTAGCACTTGGCAGAGTGGGCCTCTGCCCTCTGCCTCCCCTGAGACATTTCCTCCTGTGGGGCATCAGGTTGAAGCCCTGCCCTGCTGACCGCTGAGGGTGCCCGAGGGCCAGGGGACAGTGCCGTGGGAGTTCTAGCTCCTGAGCTGCCCCTTCTTGGGGGACCCTCACGGACGGTGGGACTTCTGGAAGAGTTGGTGAGGAGTGCGGATGCTTGGGGACTTGAGGGCTCATTCAGGACTTTCCCACGTCTCCTGGCTGCCCAGTCACCTCTTAGCCTGGTGTCCCCAGATGATGACAACACGGCACCTCCTTGACAGCTTTGGCCATCATCATTTGCCACCTGAGCTCGAGTGTACTTGATATTTTTATTATTATTATTTTAATATTTTTTTGGGGGGTGTAGATGGACACAGCACAATGCCTTTATTTCTATGTGGTGCTGAGGATCGAACCCGGGTCCCGCCCGTGCTAGGCGAGCGCCCTACGGCTGAGCCACAATCCCAGCCCCAATATTCTTATCTAACGTGGTTCACTTGGCTGGGTGTGGTGGTGCACGCCCGTGATCCAGCAGCTCAGGAGGCCGAGGCAGGAGGACCACAAGTTCCAGGCCAGCCTCAGCCACTCAGCAAGACCTTGTCTCAAAAAAAAAAAAACAGGGGGCAGGAGTGGCAAGGAGTGTGGCTCGGAGGGTAAGCTCCCCGGGTCCAAGCCCTGACACCAAAATAAGTAAACAGATGTTTAATTCAACTAAAAGGGCTGCAGATGTGGCTCAGTGGTGAAGCCCCATGACACCAATAAATAAGTGAATAAATAATAAAACGCCCCACTTTCCTCCCGACTTCGAATTCTGACAGATTTCCGAGCTGTTGGAAAGTCAAAAGGACAATGCAGAGAAGGCTCCTGAGGTTCAGCGCTGCTGACTTTTCCTTTTCTTTTCCCTTTTTTTGCAGGAACAGGACCCAGGGCCCCGGTCATGCCAGGCCGGCACTTTGACACTGAGCTACGTCCCCTCCCCTTTTTAGTTTTTATATTGAGAGAGGGTCTTGCTAAGTGGCTGAGGCTGACCTTGAACTTGACATCCTCCGGCCTCAGCCTCCTGAATCACTGGGATCACAGATACATGCTACGACACCTTACTTTTTTTTTTGGTACCAAGGATTGAAGCCAGGGACCCTTAACCACTGAGCCACATCCCCAGCCTTTTTCATTGTTTATTTTGAGACAGGGTCTCCCTAAGTTGCCTAGGGCCTTTCTAAGTTGCTGAGGCTGACCTCGAACTTGCAATCCTCCTGCCTCGGCCTCCCAAACTGCTGGGATTACAGGTATGGGCCACTGCGCCCGGCCTGGCTCACTTTTAGACTTTAAAGAATTAAAAATTGGGAAGTGTTCCTGGCAAGCCATGATCGCGGCCGAGCACAACTGGAGCTGGGTGCTGCCGGGGTGGGTGGCCGGGGCGCAGGCTGGCCAGGTTGGAGGAGAGTTGAAGGCAGCCGCGCCCACGCCTAGCCTTTCTCCCAGGCCTAGGGGGACTGAGGGGCCTCGGCCAGAGGAGAAAGCGACTTTCCCACTAGGAGGTTCAGTGTAGTTTAGTGCTGAGTCTGAATGTCCCCTAAGGTCACACCCCTGTGTGAACCCTGCTGTGGGAAACACCTGGGGTCCAGCTGCCTGCTCATAGGTCGGAGCCCTGACTCTGGCCCTGCTAGGGTCCACCTGGGGCTCCCCTCTGCCCTGGAGGGCCGGGCTCATGGGCTGGGGACCGAAGGGGCTGTGGGGCGTGGGCTCTAAAGGGGGCAGGCCTTGGGTGAGTGCAGAACAGAAGGGAGTGCCCCGGGGACTCCAGGAACAGCACTGTGCCAGCACCTGTCAGGAGCGGGAGGCCACTCGGGGAGGCCACCGTGCGGAAGCTGGCTGTCCCAGCAGCCCTCGGAGTGTCTGGGCTTGTTGGTACTCATCTTCCAAAGTTCCCGTATTTTACAAGCCTGCGTAGGTGACGCTTCCTGAAACCGCGAGGCAGGTTTCCAGCCCCTCCAGGGCCTTCGGTGGCACAGAAGACTGACCACTCTCCCGCCCTCAGGGGATTTCAGTCTAGGATAAGTCACTGCTGGCTCAGGGTCTGAGCATCCGCCCGGAGGGGTTCAGGCCAGCGCTGGCCGAGTTTCTGGGTTCACTGCTAAGAGCTGCTGGTCCCTGCTGATCTGACCCCGTATTAGAACACCTTGAGTTTGTCCAAGGGGGCAAATGGGGTGGAATTTTCTCTGCATAAGACGCGTGAGTCCCATCCAAAGGAAGCTGGTTGGGACAAGTAATAAGTAATTCATTGTCATTTTTAGAAATGAAGCTCTCCTGGGTAAGCGTGTCACCCCAACCCTCTTCCCAGAGGGGACAACTCAGTTGGGTTAAAATCTTTCCTAACAATCTTCCTGGCTGTATGTGTCTCCCTCGCATTTCACTTCCCAGGGTGCAAGGGAAGGTGTTGCACAATCAGGATTGTCTCGGTGAGTGTGGTGGCACGAGCCTGTGGGCCCAGCTACGCAGGAGGCTGAGGCGGGAGGACCACTGAGCCCAGGAGTCCCAGGCCAGCGGGCAGGAGGGCGAGGCTCTGCCTCTGTGAAGAGGACCACGCGGGATGCATCGTCATCCTGACCCCTTTCACTTGGTGACGTGGCTTGGGGACGAGATCCAGCTCTTTCTAAACCGCCGCCTGGTGCACTGCAATGTCACTGTCACATTTGCCTGACCAGTCATTATTTGCAGGACGGTGAAGGGACTCCCCTGGTTTCCTTCGGTGAGCAGCTCTGGGTGGGCACCCGGCCGTCTCCCACACACGTGCCTGAGTGATGTTCCCACTGCTGGGCGGCGCTGGCTTCTGGTTTTGGAAGGTGGTGCCGAGTGGCCCCCAGGGTCCCGTCTGCTGAGCTCTGGAGCCAGTGTCTGTTCCTTCCCGGTTTCTTCCCTGCAGGGAGGAGGAGAGCCAGGGGACGGAGAGAGGGTGTTAGAGGCTCTGGACGTGTCCACCCAGGCAGCCTGGAGTCTCCTCCAGAGGCGTAAATGGGGCTTTGTTCCTGGTCCCCCTGACAGAATCAGAGAGCTGAGATGTGCGCGGTTGACAGAGGGAGGCCCGCGTCCCAGGGGGACCGCACCCCGGGGCTGGGAGATGCCTGGGTTTGCAGGCAGAGGCCGAGGCTGACCCCCAGACCCCGCCACGATTCACGTGTTAAAAAGAAAAGTCGTCCCAGGAGCCTGGCTCCTGTCTGCGGTGTGCAGGAGGGACGGGAAGACGGGGCTTGGGGGGCCCAGGGCCAGAGGAAGAGGGGGGAGAGGGGCACAGACGGAAGGAAAGTGGGTGGGGAAGGGGCTGGAGGGAGGGGCGGGGGAGGGAGCCTGGGAGGAGGGCGGTGGCCACGCAGCCCTGGGGGGCGGCTGTCTGTCTGTTTGTGATTAGCAGCAGCCAGCCTGGTGCAGAGTGGGGTAAACAGAAACTTCCAGGCGTCCCCTCCGCCCCCTCCGAGGCGAGCAGGACTCAGATGCTCCGTGATTAATGGTGCAGGATTCAGGGCAGACCACAAACACTGCGTGGACCGACGCGGATCGAGCTGCCTCTTCCCAGCCCCGTGCCAGGATGGGAGTGGGGGGCGGGCCGTACAGGGCTGGGGGCCCCGCCTGCTGGGGGCCAGCGTGGAATTCTCCCCGGCAGAGCCTGGCGTGACCCTGACAGCAATCGACACCGCCAGAGCAGCAGGCGGCTTCCTGGAACCCCAGCCCCGCGGCCGCTGCCCCTGACAGCTCCGATAAGAGCCCCGGCCGCGCTATCGGAGCCCGGCAGAGCGTCCACCCTCCAAACCAGGGAAGCTGGGGGTTAGTGCAGCCTCGGGGGCAGTCCCCTGGAGGACGTGGCCAGGCTGGATGGACTTTCCTGAGCCCCAGCCCCGTCCGTGGAATTCTGCCGCTGGGATCTGACGCTGAGACCTTGCAGCAACAGAGACAGCAAGGCTGCTGCAAGGAGGACCGGGGGACTCAGACCTGCTCCATGGTGAGTGTGAGGTGCCCGCAGTGGGTTGGTGCGAGGACCAGGCTTCTGCGGGGAGGAGGGTGGCGCGTCCTCACACCACCTGGAGCTCCCAGGAGGGGAAGGGAGCCTGGGTGGAGGCTGAGAGGGACTGTAGTGTCTTGCTGTGTGGTCTAGGGGAGTTCTTTTCCTTCTCTGGGCCTCCCTTTACCCGTCTCTGAATGGAGTGGTTGGACCAGGTGATCTTTAGGAGGCCCTGACCGTGGCTTTGTTCCTTGGGCATCTGCTACGTGCAAGGCACTGTGCTGGGCATCCCCACAGCTGCTGTTCCCGCAGGTGTTATTGTCCTCCTCACTGTTCACGGAGTAAACAGGCCCAGAAAAGTGAAGCAACTTGCCCAAGGTCACACAGCCCCTCAGAGATGAGAAACAGACCGAGGTCATTCCGATTTGGCTTTGGCTGAACCGGCCTCCGCCCCCAGAACAGCCTCTGTGTTCTCTGGTTCTGCAATCATGGGGGGGGGGGAGGCGGGAGGAAGAATGGAATACGCATTACCTGCCGGAGGTGGGGCCGGGGAGCCGCAGGCTGAAGCCCGGCCAGCGGCCTTCAGCGTCTGGAAGATGGCTCAAGCCAGGTGTAGGACACTGCCCCGGGACAGAGGGTCAGCTGAGCGTCCTGTGCAGTGTCCTGGGCTGTGAGGGAAGAGGGTTAACGGCAGGGCAGAGCGAGCTGGGGTGGAGAGAGGGACATGCCTCCACTGGGTTCCGTTCCAACTTTATTTTGCCTTTGCAAAAATCTGTTTCGAATCACTGTGGGCCTGCGCAGCGACTTTGGACGGAACACAATTGTGAAATACCCGGCACTTTCCCCGCGCCTCCCCGGGGACGGCTCACTAATACTCTTGCCGGCTGTTGGCGTCCACAGCTCTGCAGCTGGGGCTGAGCGGCCAGGAGTAAGACGCAGATACAGTCAGAAGCAGGGTGCAGGGGACACCCAAGGGCCAGGAAGTGCACAGCCGAGCGAGCGGCAGCCGGTGGGAAGCCCGTGGGGTGCCGGGCATCAGGCCAGAAGGAAAGGTCCCGACACCCACATGTGGCCTCCTTTTTCTTCCTTTGGAAAATCCCACCCCGCAGCAGCTCTGGGCAGACCCAGGCGGCCGTCCTCGCCGGGGCTGGTGCAGAGTCCCCCTTCCCAGGGACAAGTTGAGACGGGCTCCCCGCTGTGGAGGACAAGTTGTCCCGGACACTCCCTGGGTCTGGGGAAACTGAGGCAGCGGGTGGCGCTCCCCAGGCCTGCCCTGAGTTTTCTTTGTGACCTTGAACAAGTCGCCGCCCTTCTCTGAGCCTCGGCTTCCTCATCTGTGAGGCAAAGGCAGGGGTTCAGGGAGCCTCAGATTCCGGGCTCTGGTTGAAGGCCACGTGGGTTCCACACCAGGCGAGGCTGAGAACAAGCCAGAAGCCGGAGCCAGGAAATCCCCCGGGAATTCCCCAGAGCGGCTGGGGGACACCGGGACCCTGGGTGCAGCTGGGCCTGGAGAAGTGGCCACTGCTGGAGTGCCGCCCTGGCTGCTGTCAGGGGAACAGCCCTGCAGCCTGGAAAGCCCAGTGACTCGGCGGCAGCCCTGTCCCTGCAGCATGGTTTCGCACTGGGCAACTGGACACAGCTCCCAGCTGGCTGCAGAGCCCCCAGCGTGAGCCCCGGGGTCCCCCAGTTCTTCCAGGGAGCTCCAAAGGGACGTGCCCCTGAGCTCATGAACCGTCTCTTGTCCCACTCAGGCTTCGGGCAGACCCAGGCCCCTCGAGGTGCCTCCCCGCCCACCCGAGCTCACCAGCGTCTGCAGGGCACCTCTGGAAACTCCCGGAGCTTCCTGCACTTTATGTCAGGGCTGCCCTGGGCTCGGGGAGATGTGCAGAGGGACGATGGCTTCCTCCCCAACTCAGTGACATGGCTTCCCCGCGTGGGGGGTGAGGCGCTAACAGAAATGGTGTCTTGGAACCCGGGAGGGACAGCTAGGCCAAACCTGCGGGAAGTTGAGCTTCTGTTTTTAGAAACCCTGGGAGCCAGGTGGGCCCTGCGCTGTGCGCACTGACCCCAGCTCGTGTGGCTTGTGAAAGCCAACTGTCTGATTTTCAGGAATGTGGTGAACTGGTTGCTAAACACAGTCATTATTAAAATCAAATTATATAAATGTCATCAAAAAAGTTATATGTATCTTTTGGTCCTGGGGACTGAACCCTTTTAATTTTTTTATGTTAAGGCAGAGTCTCGCTGAGTTGCTTAGGGTCTTGCTAAGTTGCTGAGGTTGGCCTTGAACTCGTGATCCTCCTGCCTCAGCCTCCTGAATATCTAGGGTTACAGGCGGGCGCCACTGCGCCTGACTATAAATTCTATTTTTATTTGCAATTGTGTGCTGCACATCCTGTATGTTGAAACCATCGTGATCAACCCAGTAAGCGTGTGTGACGCGCCTGCGTGTGTGTGTGTGTGTGTGCACATAGCACAGCTGCCCCGAGAGCCTGCTGTTAGACCTTTGCAGCACACCACCGACACCTCGCACGTCAGGGACCGCCCTCCGCCTTCACCCAGAGGATTCCTGACCCCACGTGGGGCCTGATCACAAATCCCTCCAACTCCTCCTTTGACTTAAAGCAAACCAGTGGCTAAAGGCCTCTGGGGCCCCGTGTGGGTGGGTGCAGGGTTGGGTGGGGCAGAGGGTCCTGTCTAGCCGCAGCCTCTGGCTCCGAGACCTGGGCCCCTGGGTGCCGGCAGCGCCCTAGGCCTTCCTGGTCCTGTGCCAGCCTGGGCTTCCCCGCGTGGGGGTGAGGCGCTAACAGAAACGGCGTCTTGGAACCCGGGGAGGACAGCTAGGCCAAACCTGCGGGAAGTTGAGCTTCTATTTTTAGAAACCCCGGGAGCCAGGTGGGCCCTTTCCAGATCCCCAAGCCAGAAGCACAAGAGGAAAATCTCCCTCACCCGGCTCCGCCTCGCTGCACTGTGGGTCACGGAGGAGGCCCCGGGAGGGGACGGTGGCACGAGAAGGAGCCGGCCTCCAGGTTTACAGAGAGCTAACGCCCTGCACCCCTGTTCCTGGGCACGGCGGGCAGGGCGGGCAGCGCTGTCCTGGGCGCAGGCCTCGGCGGCCCGGCTCCTGTCCTGGGGGAGCCCCGAGGGTCAGGCGTCCACTCTTCTGTCCATTTACTCCTTCATGTTTTTCTTTCTTTTCTGAAATTTTAATCTTCAAAAGTGGGTCGAGGCTGGGGATGTGGGTCAGGGGCAGAGCATGGGAGGCCCGGGGCTCTGTCCCCACCAGGCCAAAAACAGTGCCACCGTCCTGCCCACCGCTGGGCACCTTCTTGCCTTGGCTTGGCGAGGTGTGGCGGCTGCTTTCCCATGTCAACCTGTGAAGATGTGAATCGTCTTTCGATGCTTGCACAGCAGAAGTGCTAGAAGGTTCTAGGGAGGATCCATTTCAATGGCCGCTTCTCTGCTTTTGGACCAGGTCTCAGACTTCCTTCACCCCAAACCCTTGCCGGGAGCCCAGCGCGCCTGAGGCCCTGCGCTCCATCCGCAGTCACAGATGAAAATACATAAATACAGATGGGGGGGCTGCAGCCCAGCTACTTGGGAGACCGACGCTGGAGGATTTCTTGAGCTCACAAGTTGGAGACCAGGCTGGGTGACACAGTGAGACCCTGGGACCCAGCGACTCAGGAGGCAGAGGCGGCAGGACCCACGCTGCAGCCAGCCTCAGCAACTAGTGAGACCCCGACTCAAAATGATTCCTTTTTTTTTGGTATCAGGTATCGAACCCAGGGGCACCTGACCTCTGAGCCACATCCCAGCCCTTTTATAATATTTTATTTAGAAACAGGGTCTCGCTGAGTTGCTCAGGGCCTCACTCAGTTGCTGAGGCTGGCCTTGAACTTTCGATCCTCCTGCCTCAGCCCCCCAAACTGCTGTGATTACAGGCAAGCACCACTGTGCCCTGCTCAAAATAAAATTTTTAGAAAGGGCAGGGGATGTAGCTCAGTGGTTGAAGTAGCTCACCGCGATGTCCCACCCCTGGGCTCTGTCCCCCGCACACCAAAAAGCTAACCGACCAACCAACCCGCCACTTTGTCGCGAAGCCCTCCGGATCCCCCGTCTGAGACGGCAGCCTGTGCCCCCCCGCCCACCCTCCTGGGTTGTTCTCCCACCACTCACCATCCCCCAACATGCCGTCATTCTTTCCCGAAACGCCCCGTTAGGAGGTGAGTCTCCGAAGGCGGAGATTAGGTCTTCATCACCTGCCTGTTGGGTCACAGGAAGCGCTCAGTCAGTCCTGGCTTTGCTGTTGCAAGGCTGCCCGGCCCCTCGGGAGGCCCCGGGTGAGGGCGCCTGGCCCCTCCTGCAGTGCCCTCTGTCTGTGCCCGAGTGCCACACGGACACTGCCAGGCCCAGCAGGGGAAGGACGCGCTCGAGCCCGTCAGCACCCGGGAAACTGGCCTCCTGAGCCAGGCCCAGGCCCGGGGCCTCCGGGGCCCTGCAGCCGCCCCTCCTGGCTCACATCTGGGGCCAGCGCTGTGGCCGCCGGAGAAGGACAACGTGGCCACAGCCACTGCCCAGCTCCCCGGGCTCCTGGCCCGGCAGGGAGGGCCGGCCTGGCAGGGAGGCTGGGGACATGGCAGGGAGGCTGGGGACATGGCGGGGAGGCTGGGGACACAGCGGGGGCTGGGTGCAGCCGGGGTGGAGCGCGTGGAGTGCGTGTGGCAGGCTTGGGGCTCTGGATTCCGTCCGTGCCCGCAAACAAGTCCCCAGACAGCACGGCCGCGTCCTCACCGCGTCCAGGTAACCCCGGGTGTCAGGCGGGCTGTGGGACTGGGACTCTACTGTGCCCAGAGGGCTGTCACCGTGATGTCCCTATGTCTGTGCCACAGCAGCGTCTGGAGGGGACGGAGCCTGACAGCCGCGCCACAGAAGCAGCCTGCGTCCCACCAAGTGGGGGTGGTGTGGCGGGGCACCCCGCACTCTCCTCCTGGACCTGG